CAGGGTGGCATGGTGGTCCCGAGTCGGCCTTCATCAAAGGGATTCCACTGCTCTTCAGCTTCCTGGTACTGCATGCGTGTGGCTGAATGACGTGATGCACCGTGGCGTGATGCATGGTGATGCGATGATGTCATGCCAGACGCGTTTGATCGTGTCCAAGCGAGTCGCTACGCGTTTATTCTATGCTATTTTAATTATATTAACAATTCCGCTGTTACGTATGGCCTTCATAATTTCTTATTAATAATGTTTCACTGTACTAAGATGCCTTTTGCTTACGTTGTTAGTATTCTATAGTATAGTCTCGGCCCTTTTCAGCTGAATTATTAAAATCGCCATTAACATAAAGTTTCACTTAAAATATTACTTATGCTACATCTCAGTTAGCACAAATCGGCCGATGGCTACTATGGCCTTTTAATATTATGGTGGCGCGAGATTTTTAAAGTTTTTGGAGGCCTGGACGTTACACTAATCTACTCCTAACACTATCTGATTCTTCCGTGGTAAGTTCCGCTGTTGCTTCGGGTAGAGATTTATTTGAATTTGAACGCAGGCTTCTAGGTGCCATTTTATATTAAATTATTTTGTGTATTCGATGCTTCATAACGGTGTCACCTAGACCAATCCCACCGCGCTGCCATCAGATTTTTATATGTAACGTCTTCTGTGACCGCTCAGACACAAAAAAAGTTATGCTCTCTTTTGTTCTAGGCCTGCCTGCATTCACCGACAATAGCCAGGGCTGGTAGAGAGCAGTGCACCGGGAGAGAGTTATAAGTGTGTGTGGTTAAATAAAGTGAAAAAAGAATGATTTACATGTTACAATTTATTTATCAAAAATGGAACCTCTTACTTGGATTAGACTAAATTGACGATATTGCTTTAATTAATTGTAACCTCGACAAAATGAAGTTATACTATAAAAAGAATTCAATTGGTATATGTAAATGGAATGAAAAATAAAGTAATCTTCGTTTATAAGTTCGAAGATGCGTATTAGTATCTTGAGGTTATACTTCAGAAATTTTGACGTTAACGGAAGGAGCTCTAGGATGTAAATCTGGGGATATTTTATTAGTTAGTTAATATATTTATTGAGGGTATGTTGTGACGTGTGATACGTAAGAGTTAACACGATTTTAATTATAAGATTGTCTTTTATTGATCACTGGTGAGTACATTTACTAACGCTTCGACTACGGCTTGTTCGCTACTTGTTAATTCTTTATGCAAATCTAAGTTCGAATTCGGAACCTTTTGGTCTTTCGGTAATAACTCAGTGTATTTAGGTTCTTCTTTAATAACGAGTACGGTCGGCGTGACAGGCCTCGGTGGAAGTGATCTCAGTGCCGCGCGAACCTCAATATAATAATTTCCCGAATTTAGAATAAAATACCCTCTTTCTGTAGGGTTAGGAGAGCTGGGCACGACGGAGATCGGTGCGCCTTGCTCCGCGGTGCGTGCAATCCACCTGCGTAGTCGCTCTTTATGTTTCCTGCCGCTTCTCTTCGGCATCTAATATATTGAATGAAATATTCTAAGTTGTAACTGATTTGATCTCAATATGAAACTCAGTAAGAACGATTTAAGTAAGTCGGTATGGGTGTAAAGCAGAAATATAACCTCTGATCTCTCGGTTTTTAAGTTGTAAGATTCTGTTCGCAATGGATCTGTTGAAGTCTCGATCAGATCTCGACTGACTCGCTGCCAGGAGATCCTCACGCGCTACTTCACAATTCGCTGTATATTAATTAAGTTCCGGAGCGTTCGTGAAATGCTGCCGAGAACTGTCAGAGCTCTGTCTTAAGAAGCAGAAGCTGTACCCAGGAGCGGTAAATGCTACCTAGCACATTAGCAGTATTATGGTGTTATGGAGAACACCGCAGCTCTGCAGGAATGTGTATAATGAGCTTACAGCTGGCACGGATGTCAGCGAAGCGTCGAGACCAAAGATGTAACGCAAGGTATTGCAAGGTGTAGAGGATGTATAGGAAAAGAATCATTCTTAAAGAGTGTGGTAACGTAAGAATCGTATAATATATTTTAAGAGCGAGTACAATTATGGTATTTAAACGAGATTCTTATATGTAATGACGCTATACGCTATTAAAAGATGCGAGTAATACAACAAAAGTCAGAATAATACTGGAATTAAATCAAGAATAATGAATTTAACGATATGTGGTCGCTCGGATCCTACCGGTCAAGTGTTCGAGTATAATTAGGGAATAGACTCACGGTCGCTTATAGTAGAGATCCGTTAATTGTGGTTGAACTCGCCTGGGCACGCTCGTATCGTTACTACTGTTCCGCACGCAGGTCGGTCGTGGAGAATCTCGAAGCTCATTGACTTCGATAAATTGTAATGTGTAGAAATGTTCCCCGAACAAAGGCTAGCGAATGCTTCACGCAGCTGCGTGAACGAAGACTTGGTATGCTGAATTTTACCCGAACAAAATGCAAGGAGCGCTCCGGGAGCACGCCTTTTATAGGGCTCCGACGGGAGCTTCGTACGTTCCCGACGCTTTCCGACGGCGGTCGGCTCGCAGCGCCGAATTCCACGGCGACTCGGTGGTCCCGGTTCGGTTAGGTTGAAAGGAATGCCTCTACGCTGGGTGGCTGGATGACGCCATGTGCGATGGCGTGATGCATAGTATCGAGATGATGTCATGCTGAGTGCGCTCTGTCGTGCCTAAGCGGGTTCGCTTCGCGGATATTCTTATATTATTCGGCTCACCTACTAATTCCTTCGTCATGTATGGTTTTCACTAACTACTTCCTTTACGTGCATTGTCAATATATTGAGTTTTATTCTTGGCCGTCTCTGACGATTGAATGAGTAGGTTTTACCGCTGGAAT